GGGCAACCGGACGCACCGGTCAGATCGACCGAACGCAGGACCCCAACGTCTGGTCGCGCGATGCACACCACGTGGCCCTTGTTTCAAATGCTGATCATCCGATCTCAATGGTCATCAGTGCACTTAAGTTGTGACCGGACGCTCTACAGTGTAGGACCAGACACAGGACCCCAGCGTCCGGTCACTTCCAGTAAGGTTCCAATCACGACCGGACGCGTCAGTTTGATCATGACCGGACACAGGACCCAGCGCCCGATCACTTCTAGTAAGGTTCTAGAGGTGGAAATTTGTGACCGGACGCGTCCGGTCAAGCCCAACCGGACTCGCCCAGCATCGGTCACTCACGGTCTACTGTGTGCGCTGCCACATCAGCAGGACCGAATGCTAAACAGTGTTCAGCCAGAGTCCAGTCGCCTGCATCTGGTCAAGAGACCGAGGGCAGCCTTCACTATGCGCCACTGACCGGACACGGGACCCAGCATCCGGTGCACTCTATGAAACCCTATCTTTTCTGTACGGGTGGACACTCCACCGGTGAAGTTTTGAACCCTTGCTCCTAAGTGCTAAACACAATGTGTATCACCATTGTTCATGTGTGTTAGCATATTTTCACAAATGTTTTCAAGGGTGTTAGCACTCCACTAGATCCTAAATGCATATGCAATGAGTTGGAGCATCTAGTGGCACTTTGATAACAACATTTCAATATGAGTTTCACCCCTCTTAATAATATGGCTATCGATCCTAAATGTGATCACACTCGTTAAGTGTCTCGATCGCTAAACAGAAAAACTCCTATCAATTTCACCTTTGTCTTGAGCTTTTTATTTTTCTTTCTTCTTCTCCAAGTCCAAGCACTTGATCATCACCATGGCATCACCATCATCATGTCATGATCTTCATTTGTTTCACCACTTGGAGTAGTGCTACCTATCTCATAATCACTTTGATAAACTAGGTTAGCACTTAGGGTTTCATCAATTCACCAAAACCAAACTAGAGCTTTCACCCTCCTGGACTCCGGCGCATGTAGACTATAGGCTCAACCCCCAAACCGCCATGTACCCGACCTATCTCAATATATAAGGGATAAGGTTGGATCCTAGAGGGGGGGAGGATCCAAGATAGATCATTCCATTCCTCATTGATTCGCTCCTACTCGGCACCGAGAGCAGAGCAACCCAGAGAGGGGCACCGAGAGCTCCTCCACCACACCCTGTCGTCTTCCTCCTCTACGATGAGGGGAAGACTCCACCGGCGGCGAGACAACCTCTGGATTAGCACCGAGCTAACCCCCTACCAAATCTCTCTGTACCTCCTGTACACTCTGTTGTAACCCCCCGATTTTGGGTGCTCTTAAGTATAAGATCATCAGCTGCTGGACGTAGGGCATCAATTGGCCCGAACCAGGATAAACCGTTGCATCATCTCTGTGATTCTTATATTCTTGAGTCCACCCGAGCCACCGGAGACATGTACTCTGACACCAACTCGAACAATAATGCTTGTCGTGGTTCTGACCCCACGACACCCACATACACTTTTGTTCTTGATTTGCGCAAAAAGGTTCCTAAGGATAATAGGAAGAACTCTAGAAGCATTATATGTTGATCTAACCCACGATTAAAAACCAAGGTGCGACTAAATCCTCCACAATATCCCACTAACATGCACATGTGCCAAATTCAAAACTAGGTTGGATGTGACAAGAGGCCTGCCTCTGAAAGTGGCCTCTATTTTTAGAGATAGACCTTTTAAGATGTCCACCCTTGTTAATTAATTGATTTATAGAGGTTGCAGTTTGTTTTTTGAAACCAAACTGGCAGACTTTATTCATTTAGAATTGTTACATCATTTGTCAAGAGATCTAGAATAAAGCTAGGAGGTTCATTGATCCTAAGTACAAGTTTGTTTATATTGCATATCTCTTTTTGCTAGGTTGTGAGCTACCTGATTTACCTCCCTACTACAATGCTCAATAGATATATCCTCAAAAGCGCTCCATATAATATTACATTCATCATACAGTGATGCTGCCGAATTCGCTGAGAATCCTCCATTCTTCATTGTTTGTACCACCTCCATACAATCTGATTGGACGATCAATCAATTACATCCAATGTGTTGTGCGAGCATCAAACCTTCCTTTGAGGCATACACCTCCACCATAGGTTCATCTATTAGATGAGGCACAAAGCTGTGAGCAGCTGCTAATGGCCCTCCCGAGCAGTCTCTAATAATAGCACCCACGCTTCCACATCCCTCATCTTCATTGAAGGCTGCATCAACATTGACCATAACCTTTCCTTCCGGAGGTTTCTTCCATCCCTGTCTTAGTTTTGATCCTTTCTTCATTGCTGCTTTATAATTATTAGTTAATGCCACAATTGCCATGGCGGACCTTGAAGGCCTCTGGACGGTCTCTCCATGAACAATTTGTCATCTTTCCCACCAAATATACCAGCTGGTAGTCAGGATTAATTCTGCAAATCCCACATCAAGCACATCTATCTACTCGTCTCTTCTGATAATTTCCTCCAGGATCACCGAGCCTGATCGGTCCGTTTCCAGGTGGCGCTGGATCTTTTCCCACATACCAAGTGACCACCAGACTTGCTTGGCTCGGTCACATGTGAAGATCATGTGCTTGATGTCTTCTATTCCATTCTGGCAAACTGGACATCCTCCTTCCCCAACATGCCTATTAGCAAGAATAGCTCGGCATGGTAGTATAGGTGCCTCCAAAAATGGTCCGTCTGTCATAAAAAACTGTTGTATATTTTAGGAGACAACCATATTTTTTTGCTTGCCTCCATAAATCAAAGGAGCAGTCTCGTAAATTTTTTTGGAGTAGTGCAAGCAGCCCCCACTCATAGCCACCACAACGCCTCCGCAACACAACAAACCTGCTGCACACCATGGCGCTCCCAACCATGCCACAAGTCACCCTAGGCGCTTTTTCACCGAAAACCAACACCGAACCGAAACCGAACCGAATAGTCGGTAGTTCGGTTTTTGTTCGGTTTCTAGTTCTGTGAAGTTCGGTGTTCGACTTCGGCTTTGGTTTCTATGCCATACCAAACCGAAGTACCGAGAAATTGAGAAACTCTCGTAAGGCAGGCTAAGGCCGTGAGCGCTGAGCGCTAGCCCACCAAGCACCGGCCCACTGCCCACCAGCCCACCACCGCTAGTCCACCACGGCACCCCGCACCCACACCACTTCACTTCCCCGCATCGAATCGAGTCACACCGCACGTCCGCACACAGAGCCTCGCACTCTCGCTCCTAACCCTAACCCTTCAGAGGTGCGGCAGGCTGCTGGCGGCGCACCCAGTAGGCTAGGGCTCTAGGCGACCAGCAGCGGCAGCGTCACCGTCGACTGTCGTCAAGCTCCTCAACCACGGCCGCAAGAACAGAGCAGTCCTCCAATGTAAGTCTTTAGTTCTTCTTGTTCTTGCTTAATGCGTAATAGATCCAGATGTCTGTTGGTTGCTTTGTGACAATGCGAGTTGATTAGTTAGTTAGTTTGTACCCTGACTAAGTACCTAGATGGCTGGTTTTGGTTTTGATGTCTTGTAGATGGGGGACACTGAAGAAACAGTGGCGCATCTGAATGTTCAAGTGAATGAGAATGAAGTTGTAAATGGGGAGAATGATAAGCAGGATGAGCAGCAGCAGTCCAAGGATGGAGAGGAAGTGGGAGATGAGGAAAGCAAGAAAAGGAAGCCCATGGTTCCAAGATCAGATGTTTGGGAACACTTCAACAAGATCAAACTTGATAATGGGGAGGAGAGAGCCAAGTGCAAGTACTGTGGCAAGCAACGCCGCTGTGACACAAAGTTAAATGGTACGTCCTCCATGAAGGCTCATTTGAAAATCTGCAAGAAGAATTCTCACAAACCTGTAGTAGATAATCAAGGTACTTTACAACTACGACCTAGCCCTAGCAATAGTAGTGTTGGTACTCTATCTACTTGGAAATTTGATCCTGAGGAGTTAAGGAGGAGTTTTGCTGAGATGATAATAGAAGATGAGCAACCTTTTGTGTTATCTGAACGTTCTGGCCTTAGAAAGTTTATGTCAAAAGCATGCCCACGTTTTGTTTTGCCATCTAGAAGAACAATCACTAGAGCCTGTGTGAAAGTGTTTGATGATGAGAGAGAAAAACTTAGGAAATTTTTGAAAGACAACTGTGAAAGAGTTAGCCTGACAACAGACACATGGACGGCTAAGAACAGTCATAATTACATGTGTGTTACATCACATTTTATTGACAATGAGTGGAATTTGCACAAAAAGATTATTGGTTTTTTTCTTGGTTAAGGGCCATAGGAGGGAGGACATTGGAAAATCTTTAGAGAATTGCTTGGCTGGCTGGGGAATTGAGAATGTTTTTACAATAGCAGTAGAAAATGCTAGTGCAAACAACACTGCAATTAAGTACATGCAGAGGGTCCTGAATGAATCAAAAGGCTGCGTTGCTGAAGGAGAGTACCTTCATATGAGGTGTTTTGCACATATTATCAACCTGATAGTAGGTGATGGGCTGAAAGAATTTGATAGATCAATCGCTCGTGTTCGGGCTGCTGTTAAGTATGTTAGGAGTGGACCATCTAGGTTGGTAAAGTTCAAGAAATGTGCCGAGTTAGCAAAGGTTCAGACCAAAGCTTTTTCAACCTAGACGTCTGCACTAGGTGGAACTCAACTTACCTGATGCTACAAACTGCACAAGAGTATGAAAAGGCCTTTGAAAGGTATAGTGATGAAGACCCATACTATAGTCTAGAGTTAGAGAGTGAGAAAGCACCAGGAGTTCCAATCAAAGCAGATTGGGAAAAGGCAAGGAAAATGGCTCAATTTCTTAAATACTTCTATGAGCTGACCCTCCGTGTCTCTACCACAAGTCGCCCAACATCTCACACATACTTTCATGAGATTGCTGATGTTTTGGTTCTGCTTTGAGAAAATGGTGTCACAAAGAAGATACATTATGTAAGGAAATGGGCGGGAAAATGTTAGTGAAGTATTACAAATATTGGGGAGAGAAGTATGGAGAAAGGCCGGGGGATAGAGAGAAGAGAGGAGAGAAAGACAAGGGGGATCAATTGCTTAACATTGTTATTTTTTTCTGTGTTGGAATTGATCCTTGGTTCAAACTTTCTAACTATGTCAAGATGGCAACTATGGTCATGTTTGGTGATGAAATAGGTCAAAAACTGTGGGCAACAGTCAACACTTATTTTCGTGCTTTGTTTGAGGAGTACAGAGAACTGTATGCTCCATCTCCAAGTGACAAGGTGCCTGCTGAAACTCAAGAAACACCAGAATTTTGTTCTGGATTGATGAGCTCCATAATTGCACAACAGATGAGCAATAAGGGGAGTGCCAATACCACTGTGAAGTCTGAACTAGACAAGTACCTTTAAGAAGATAATGAGGAGCTTAGTAAAAGTTTTGACATTATGAAATGGTGGAAGAACAATGCTACTAGATTTCCCATAATGTCTCGTATGGCCCGTGATCTTCTGGCAATTCCTATCTCAACAGTAGCCTCTGAGTCAGCTTCAGTTCAGGTGGAAGAACACTTGATGATTTTAGGACATCACTCACACCAACAATGGTTGAGCGGCTCGTTTGTACAAATGATTGGTTTCGTGGAAACAACTACATCAGTGTTGAAGAGGACACAGAAGCATTGGCCAAGCTTGAGGAAGGTAATTTTTAATGCTAAGTCTAAGTTGTTATCATTTCTATTGTTTATCTTAATAGCTTATTGTAGTAACATGACTACACTGAGTACTAACTAAAACATAATCACTTATTGTAGAAATTGGTGCCCTGGCCATTTCTAAGGATAGCACTATTGTTACCGCATCTTGATAATGGTAAGTTGGTTAGCTGGATTCCTGGACACATCCTGGTGGCGCCATGGAGCATTGTTCTCTTGTTGTTGTTGATGCCTGCTGGATGGAACCTGTTTTTTTCCTGTTGTTTATCAAAACTGATGGAGTACTGTGGTTTATTATCAAGAATGAACTACAAATTTGTAATATTTGATTTGAGCATTGAATTATTAAGTTTGTAACAGTCTTGAGTCTTCAAATAATATATTGTGCTGTGTAAGTTTGTACTGTGCTGTGCTGTCAGTTCTAAATCCTGTCTGATGTTTTCTTGCATCGGTTTATTCGGTTTTAACCGAAAAAACAAACTAAAAAACCGAACCAAAATTGATCGGTTTTTAGAATTTTAGCAAACCGATCGGGGTTATTTTTTGGAAACCAAAATTTTGGAAAACCGAAGAAACCGAACCGAACCGTCGGTTAAAACCAAACGCCCAGGCTAAGCCACAAGATATTATCATAGCTCATGCCCTCCTACCGTGACGAGCTTGAACACCAAGGGTGGGGGCCCAACAACCAGGGCAGACTGACGTGCCACCCACGGCCGCTTGAGTAGCTAGTCAGTCAACAACCACCAAGGGCAGTTGACGCGGGGGCGCCTACCCACCGACCAGGGTGGTGGGAAGCAAGCAGTCCGCCGACACCGCCTAATTTATTTGGAGGCGGATATGCCACGACCTGTCGCGCACTTGCATAGCGTGCGACCCCCAGCCCCACGCTCCTTTCCATTTTCAGCAGCGCCCAAAATCCCACCCCGCTCCTTTCTATTTTTAGCAGCCCCCAAATCCCCCGTCCGCTGCCGACCGCCACATGTACGCCGTCTGTCGGCCGCTACCTCCTTCACGCTCGGATCTACCGGCCGCCGCCACCACTGCATGGATCCGGGATCTTCCCCTCCACTCCGCCGATTTGGTCCTCCTCCCCACATATTGGCTGCTCCTCTCCGCACTAAACTCATGAATGCAGGTAATCTCCTCTTCCCTAATTTTTACCTAGAACTGTAATCGAACTTTGTCCCTTTGTCGGCCTTGATTTTGTGTATGCATCTAGATCGGTCTCTGGCATACAGTCTAGATGTGTGGATTTGAAGGTTCACTTGCTTGTTTTCATCCACATCGTTCCATATTAGGTGGAAGCATTGGACCTCAACTGAATAATTGATAGAGGTGCAAACCAGTGTTGGTTCTGTTGGTGGTGTTCTTCCTGAAACTGGATGGCATTTCATTGCCTAAATTAGGATTCAGTCCGTGACGGTGCCCATACTTGTAAAAAATAGTGAAACAGGCAAACCTGGTAGTGATAAAACCTGGAAAATCAATGGCTGCATCTTTTTTTGGTTACATCCATGGGTCCTGATGTTCAGAGAAAAGTGTACACATCTATGTAAATCTTAAAATGCCATATTATTTGTTGCAGATAGTAACAAATTATAATGCAGGTGCTCTACATTGTCGCAAATCCTTGTCTAGTGTACATAATACAATATTGGGAATGGCGTTATATTTAACTGTACCTTGCTACAAATTTTTAGCAAGTGCTTATCTGAAAATATGACAAACTTGAAAAGGCATATTAATTTCTTTAGGTGCTTTGAGTTGTTGTACCTCCCACATTAGTTTAATTTCTTTACTATCTAAGGGCAAAAGTTATCTGAACTTGCTGTTTACTTTAATTTTTTGTTCAAATGAATTTACTGTAAAAAATATTGATGACCATCTGAATTTGTTGTACTGTTGCTGAAGTAGATTTTTTTTTTAAATAATATAAATAGTATTTATGTTTGTTTTGGTTTCAGTTTTGAAAACTTATGTACTGAAATAATTTTAGAATATGAATATAACTTCTTACAACTAATAGTAGATGCTTTCAATTTACCATCTTATTATGTGCCGAGTAAAAAAATAGTGCAGCAACTTATATTTATGGCAATTTTTATTTTGTTACATGAAACCATGCCTATTAAAGAGATGTTTGACCTAAATTTTGAAGCAATAAATATTGAAGCTTCTGAATATGCTGCAGTTGAAAGCAACCAACACAATATGACAGAAAGTGAGGTTCCAATAGTAGAAAGTAACCAGGAAAATGAAGGTCTAGTTGGTCCAAGTGGTACAGCAGCTGAAAATGGTGGAAGGCACCCTCAGGGGAGTGCAAATTCAGCACAATTTGAGAGTACTGCAGCAGGCAACAGAGATTTTCAAGGAGAGTCTGGGCAAACTATTCCAACAGCTCAAACAAGTGCTGCTGCATTTGATGTTGAGGAAGGTGTAGAGGTCCTATCTACGGCACTGGAGCCTTTTCTTGGAATGAGCTTTGAGTCCTCAACAGCTGCAAAAGACTACTACAACACTTATGCTTGGCATGCAGGTTTCTCGAGCAGGGTAGATACATCTCGAGAATCAAAGAAGGATGGTATGAAGAGCAAGTACATATTTGTTTGTCAGAATGCTGGTGTGAACAAGAAGCAAACAAAGGCGTCGGGATTATGTTGATATGACGCATTGCCCGACTCGAATGGTTGTTAGAAGGTTGCCATCAGGGAATTGGGAAGTTGTTAATTTCGAAAAGGAACATAACCGTGAGTGTGTTAAGAAATTCTCACTCACAAAATACCTATCATCACATAGTGATATTCCGCAAGAGGAAAAAGAATTTATAAAGTTCCTCCATGGCTGCTGCATTACCACAACAAGAGCATACCAGATAATATAATGGCTGAACTTTATGGTGGTATTGAAAACTGTCCATATACAAACGGTAATCTGAAGTAGCAAAATATTTATAATTTTGCATCAATTAAAATTGTAGGCGCAAAAAAGCATGATTTACGATTGATATATAACAAACTTTTGTGTAATTAATTTAATTATACAGGTGACACGAAGAACTTGCGAGTCGAGTACAGAGCTGAGTACTGAGGCAAAGATATGAAGGCCACACTTGAGTACTTTGAAGAGTTGAAAAAGGAAGATCCAGAGTTCTACTGCAATTATACTCTAGATGAATTTAACAGAGTAGAAAACCTGTTCTGGGTGGATGGCAAAGCAAGGAAGGCTTTTGAGTTGTACAGCGATTGCATATCGTTTGATACAACTTACTAGACAAATGCCTACAATATACTCTGCACACCATTCATAGGTATGTAGCTTGCACTAAAAAGGCAGGTTTGTTTGTAAAAATTTCTGTACATGACTTTGCTGTACAAGTCTTAGTAATGGTACTTTGAACTAGTCCCATAGAAAACCTACTAAAAAACTGCAGCTGTACTGTATATTGTAGGAAAACCTGTGTTTTTTTTGTGTTTTGACCAACCAAAAAATCAGCAATATGTAAAATCACCTTTGTTTAAAGGGTTAATTGGATTGGTGTCATTATAATTCTCGCGTTTCTTAGAAATACCATTACTATTGGTCTTATTGTAAGCGTGCCATTACAATTACACTGGAGTCTGAAAAATGCCATTATGTACACTTGCCGCGACCTATGGCCCATATGCAGGTGTATATAGCGGGTACTTACATTCGTATGCACCGTTTTGCCCCAAGATTCTCCATACATGTGCGCCGGTTTGACTAGATCGACTCAAATCCATCCATTCCCCACCTCCTCTCTCTCTCTCTCACTCGAAACCTAGCTCGTCCGCCTCGGGCGACTGCGACCGGTGGCGGCGGCGACTACTGCTCGCTGCGGCGGCGACCGCGACTACCGAGGGCGCTGGCGTCGACCGCGACTACTGCTGCTCCTTCCCCGCCCCATCTGCTGAGCGGAGGCGACTGCGACCGGCGGCGGCGGCGACCATGACTATCGAGGGCGCCGGCGTCGACCGCGACTACTGCTGCTCCTTCCCCGCCCCATCTGCTGAGAGGAGATGGCATCCACAGCTGCCAGTTCAAGTGCTGCAGCAATGGACGACAGCATACCAGGTATGCATCTGAAACCATTTCGATCTGACATGACTTTCCCTCGATGAATAGGCTAGTTGTTACTGCAATTTGTTGTAGAACTCGTTGACTTGATTTGCTTACTTCCTGCTAGGACCGACCTCTTCTCGCTAGAGATTAAAGTTGAAGGTTTCAATACAACAGATGCGTTGGGTAGGAAAGTTTACACCAAAGGTTCTGTGATTAAGTGGAATGTCGAGATAGGGTCGTTTTCTTTAGACTTGTTGATGGAAAGCTTGCGGAATGAAGTTAAATGGGCCTCTAACCAGTCTGCATCTCTGTGGTTCTTTGACAAGAATGTGCAAGAAGATGTCAGATTAGTCAGTGACATTCAGATGATAGATTTGTTTGACATGTATAAGTCTGAAATGTGTTGCTGTGTGTTGGTAGGAGTCTTTGATAATGTTGTTTCTGATGCATTTGAGTATGAGTTGATAGAGCCTTTATGTGTTATTCCACCTGATGATGGAGCAGTCAACCCTACTGATTTCAATCCTAATGCAAATGCTTGTGCTTCTGCCATTCCAAATGCAACTAATGCTTCTACTACTGCCATTCCAAATCCAAGTGCTTCTACTACTGCCATTCCAAATGCAAGTGCTTTTTCTGCTACCATTCCAAAAGCAAATGCTCCTTCTGCTGCCATTCTAAATGCAAATGCTTCTTCTGCTGCCATTCCAAATGCAAATGCTACTTCTGCTGCCATTCCAAATGCCCAAGCTTCTACTGATGCCAATCCTTGTACTGTCGATGAGTCGAACGTAGAGCCTGATAGGGAGCCAAACATCTTTGACAATGAAGAGGAGTATGTTGGGGTTGATGATGAGCACATCTACATTTTAGTACCACCTACACACCCAGCCAACACTGATAGTGCCCAACCATCTGTTGATAATGCTGATCTTGTTGCTGATGGAGGTGCTCCTCTTGAGGTAGAAATTGATGATGCAGATCCCCAGGAAATAAATGTCCTCCATGATCCTGAAAATCCAAAGATTGTCAAGGGACAATTGTTTCCTGACATAGTAACATTCAGGAA